TGTTTGTACTACTGATGCTAGATAATTATTAGTTAAGCAAATTATTTTCAATAGTAAATATTACTAAATGCATCTCATGAGAGTTCTAATATATTACCCAACGTTCAAACTCGGTTGAGAAAGAACGGACGAATATAATAATCGTTGTTTATTTCATATATATTACATTAAATAGGGTTTTGAAAGCAATAGTGATTATAAGTTAATATACATAAGAAATATTTTATTATTGCAACTAAACACTTTTGACATAATAAACATCACTTTTTTAATATTCTAGAAAATAAAATGAATATTTACAGCGATATTGTATATGTAGAAAATACAGTCTGGTATACCGGATAATATCGTCGTATGTATATATCTAATCTATGGTATGGCATAAAAGTCTATGGTATGGCATAAAAGTCAGAAAGTCGTAGACGACAAAGTGTATAAAAACGATCGCTTATTACCAAATATAAGTTCTGGCGCTGCAAATATTATTGTCTATACACAAATAAGATTGAAGTGTTTGTTTGTAATGTCAAAATACCATCTTTTTACTAAATGCATGTGAAAGTATATACAGTACATATAAGAAAAAGAAAATTTTTAAAATTTTTGTCTGTTTATTTGTTCCGGCTGATCTCTGAAACAGCTGGACTGATTTTGACGGGACTTCACAGGCAAATAGCTGGCGTTATAAGGAGTAACTTAGGCTACTTTCTTTTGTAGAAAAAGAATTAGGATTCCGCTCAAAAAAATTAAAACACCTACCGCACCCTAGCGAAGCGAGAGTAAATCGCTGGTTATAAAATAAAAAATCTTTTAGTTCACTGTGCCTACATTATACTGGTCCATCAGGGAGCGTTAGCAATGTTACCATTGTTTAATAACGAAATATTTAATATATGTACATATAATATAAAAAAAAAGTCCGACGAATTAACCTCCTCCTTTTTGAAAGTCGACTGATTAACACGAAAATAGTTTGATATCTTTTGTTTCATGTCTTGACGTGTTTTAACTATAAACAACTCTTATGAAGAAGGTTAGAATATATTCACTCTATGCACATATTCCAGCCAAACTTTCTATTCAAAACAGTAATTTAGTTTTGTTATATCTACTCTTATCAACAATATATAAAATAATGTATATATACGATTTACGATCTGCGCCTTAATATATTAACTGAATATTTCCTTGGTTTCAAAGTCATGGTGTCACTTAATGGTGCAACACCTTGACAAGACATAGTAGTTTGCCTTTATATTTACATAGGTATGTTATAAAAAAAGGTCTTAGTAAATTTCATGTATACAACATATTTTAATGTTATTTATTTGATATCCGTAACATCACTGAAGTCCTCAGTGCAAAGTTGGCCTAATTAATATACGAAGAACTTATATATACGAGTATGACTTTTGTAAAGTGCGGTGTTCACTGGATTTACTGCCAGGAATTTGATATGATCCTACTCTGACCAGCGTTGTCCATATACCACGATCCTTCAGTTGAGGCAAGGGTCTATGCACACGATGACTTTTTAACGCTCTGTAACGTGTAGTGAACGCGCGTTTATATCTATTCGAAAGCAAGCAATCTGTGTGTTTTATATTTATTATCGCAGACGTACATACGTTTGAGATATGCGTTTTAAAATCTGGTGTGCATAGACCCTAATATTACAGTTGATTGTACGCGGATTCATTGCTCTTTCGCAGTATGTCGAATTTCCTGTGTATAGTGTACAATGTACGTGGCTCCTATGTATACTAACTGCATATTCGTACGAATAAATCTTATCGCGTACTTTAGTAAACGAAGTCACCGGGATAGGCTATTTTTAAGTGATAACTTTTTGGCAATTTGATATACCAATAACTCATTTTTACAGTAAACTGAAATTCGTTAGACAATTAGTCCATTTTTGCACTGAAGCCAGTATTTCAATCAAACAATCTTAATACCGTCACACAATGCCTTTAAATAAGTAGAGAAAAGTTAACCAATTAAGTACTACTAGATATTATAATGTTAAACAAACCTTGTTTTATATCTTTGAATGATTATATTATTTATGAATCCTTGAAATGAATAAATTAATAAAATAAAATTGCATGGACATGTACATAAATATGTAAATTTACCAGTTTATTTAAAAAATTAAAATGAATTTTATTGCCTTTTAAACATTTTGCTAAATATTCGTCTGCGGTACGTCGTCTATGTATCAATTAATCTAAATCAATATTTATTGTAATGAGAAAGCTTTTTAATATAAAATTTTGGAATAAAATAATGTAGAAATGTATTCATACCTGGTATTATACTTTTGGACTATCATGCATTAGTTTTGTTATATTTGTTAAATTCAGATCATTTTAACAATCCTCCGTAGCTTACAAAAATTATCTGATCAAGTATCCATTTAGGATTTATACGTAATAATTATATTGATATTGGATGAATTTAAAATAATTATAAATATGTACCGCTGGATCGGCATACCTAGTTCGGGGTAAGGAAACACCTTCAGTGATTCTCAAACTATTGGGAAGCTATATTGTAATACCACAGTATAAAAATCGATACAGTTGAGGATCGCTTTGATTTTTACGGGAATGCTGTCAAATGCAATTATTATCATTAAATACCCATTTTCTTGGTTCAAAGTTAAAGCACTTGTCATCTGCTGGCAAATTACAATTATATCAAGCCGCGGCGCGTCTGCTTTGACAAAGTAGCTTTGATCAAAGTTTACTTGGATATCTGTTGACACGCTCAATGTCTGTTTTGACAAAAAGGTTTGAAGCGAAGTTTACTCTGATAAACACGGCTCCGAGACTACTTTGATTGAACGCCGATGTCAAAGTGCGTTTTGATTGTTCGTTTACACGATCAAAGTAGTCGTCAAAACTACTTTGTCAAAACAGGCCTTAGAAATGTAGAGCAGGGGCAGTACAAATTGATTAACGTCCACATCAAAGTGCGCTTTGATTGCTCGTTTACATGATCAAAGTTGCGTCAAAGTAGTCATCAAACCTACTATGCCAATGTAAACTTTGATCGTGTCAACGCGGCTTAAAGCTGTTTCCTAATGGTCATATAAAAGCAAGTCGGGTCACCCGCGCCTCGCCTCGCCTCGCATGGCACTCTGCCCTGTCTTCGTTAGACGGCTGTATGGGTTAGTAGACTGTGGTAATATTTCAAAAAATATTAGTATTACTTGTAACTCTACCTAAGGTACAAACTAAATTTAACCGTGACCACGGTTAAATTTTACAGGCTGTGTACTGAAATAGAAGATATATATTTTCACTTATTAATTATTAATAATGCGAATATGTTATTATCGTCGTTATGTCCGTATTTTATATTTTGTTTTTCATAAATTTGCATGTCATTAAGTAAATAAAAGCGAATTTCAACAAAAAATCAATTTTTTTTGTAAAATATATTTTTATTTTTATGCATGGGTATTCAATTCAGATATGAACAATTTGTGTTTGTTGATCCTTACTTGGTGAGATTTGTGTATATTATAAAACATCACTGAACTTCACTGTAATTTGATAGAGGATTATAAAGAAAAAAAGTCAACAGTTAATTTAAGTAGTTTCCATTTGCTCATGTTGCCTTTGAATTTTGTTTTAAAGGCCAACGTTTCATTTCTATTTATAAACTTACATCTAATTATAGAGGAAAGCAGTGACTTATACTTATATTTAAATGAAAATATTATTTTGCATGACCTATGCTAATGTTATGTAATTAGTGCTACTTGCTTTGTTTGTATTTTGAATCTTATGTATGATTCCAAAATCGAATTTAATATATAATATGAGTAATTATTTTCTGTAGTCCAATAGCCCATAACCCCCAGACCCGCGTTATTTATACATCTTTAGCAAATCTTAAAATTATGTCAACAGAGTTATATATTGAGAATTGTATGCGTCTATATAATACTGAAGGGATGATTTTATATAGAACTGTAAAGTAACTCTCGTGTCAGTATGTGGCTTTTACTACTTATACCACAATTGTTGAATTTTTTGTAGCTTTGTTAAAATGACGTACGTACATAGTGGTTTTGGGGCTCTGGGATTTTACTTTATTTCATGTATATATTTTCGTTCCACACGAGAAGTAGTTTTTGTTCATTTATTATTTGATGCCACTAATGAAGTGGAGCAAAACATAAATTTTCAAGCCATTATTGGTATAAATTTTCTTTAAATGTTAATATGATGGACATTAATATAAGAAAATGGCACTGTTTGTTTGTAAATGACTCCCGTGTAGATCTAGCCACGGAGAAAATAATGTCCAGGCATTCCTAAATAAAATTCTCTGTAGAATAACAGAGGTGTATGGTATATATTTATTTTAGATTGTTTAAAATTAGTTTAAAGTTTAATTATGTTTTTTTTTTCGATGTGTAGGAATGGCGCTACCGAATTAACTACATTCGGTTGTGAATAGATATTACGTATGCCGAATGCGAAGATTTTGTAACATTTTGTTATTTTGTAAATATTTGGTATCGTTTAAGTATTTGTAATAAAGATACCTTACCATAATGAGTGTTTTAATAAAAATGTTGTTCTCAGCTCATTTATATTTTTATACGAACCTCTTCGTGCTTTTTCTACTAATTAATACTAATAATTTTCTATTGTTACTATAAAAAGAATAAAATATAAATAACTGGATGTACAAATTAATACAAATTAATATAATTACTAAATCGATATATAACACTACTTTCTCGTGTAAATTGAGTTTCCGGTTTATTAACAGGCACAGGATAGTTACTGTTGCACGCACGTTCCTGATTGTTTTATTATAAAATATAGTAAGTAATAGAAAGTTTAAAAAGTCTTTGATGATTTTGTTGTAACTACAACTTAATACGTAGCGTGCCAGTGTCACGATAGTTCGAGAAATCTTTGGGGAAGAAAGTAATGTAGCTAGGTGGTGCGCAGTGGCAGTCAGTTGGTGTTAAAATGTGGCGGTGGGTTGCGGTGTGGTGCGCGTCGATGTTATCTGTGAGTGGGACGATAGACTGGCGGCTATTGAATTCGAAATATTCAGGTTCACAGGTGAGACTTCGAGCATTTTTTGTCTGTGGTAACATTTAAAAATGTTTTAAATTAACGGTTTCTAATTTTTTTTAGTCCTAAGAAAAGTACTTAGGAGTTAGGTTAGTATAACATTAGATAAAATTCGAGTAACTTGAAATAATTGTTTTTTTTTGTAGGTAATATCTGTTTTTTTTGTAGGTAATATGTGTGTTTTTTTGTAGATATTATGTAGTGATTTCATTAATGAAACACGGTTTAGAATTAATCGTTTATTGATTCTGCAACGGATTAAATATATTCAAAATATTTTTTACCTTACAAAGTAATATTCTGTTTTTTTTTTCTGAAAAATTGGACAACATTTGATGTAAACAGTTTTGAAGCGAAATAGGTTTTTTTTTAAAACCTGTCACCATGCCCACTTCTCATGGTTCTACGTTATTATAAAATAATATAAAAACATCTATTAATCGGACTATTATTTTAATTACGAAGTTTTGTTTGCGTGTGTATGTTTGTTACTCTTTCTCGCTCAAACGGTCTTTGCTGGTACATATTAAGACTTTTGGATTAATATATAGACTAAGCTAGGAATGCACCCAAGCGAAGCAATGGTAAGTCGCTAGTTGATTATCAATATGTAATCATTTGATATGCGATTTATATTTAGAAAGGGTTTAGGTACGTGTGCCTTATACATTTAGGGTGAGATGGAAGAGCGTTCTACTGTTAATTTCATTAAAATAAATTTCTTTAAAAAGTGACAGCGAAAAATGAATGTTACTGAGCTTGAGCGATTTAATAAAACCATTGTCTCGTGTTATGCATTAATTACTACCGCAAGTTATCTTAGCATGCGCATAGACTGCGGTACTATGCGTGCATTGTTACAAATTAATTGGTTTGTTCGCGGGGCTAACATTACGTTGGAATTAAATAATAAACATTACCGGTATCACGTATTTTCCGATCAGTACAATTACAGTATAATTATAGGCGAACAGTTAGGCGTTATGTAGATACAATAGACGAATATATCAGATTTGGGCTTGGCGTTCTTTTTATTTTTGAATCAAGACATCAATTGCATTGCAAAAATATTTAATATATAAATGCGAATGCTTCTTATTTTCATTATTAGTCACATTTCTGCCAAATCTTCAGCATTTGTTTTATTTTATATTATGTTTTTTTTTAACGAAAGAAGTCGGTTATTATTCAGTATTAAATTGTGTATTTTAACTTACCTTCGCTTCGCCCAGATGCGTTCTTTGAAGTGTAGGTAACAGTAGCATACGATATATTATGTTACTTAAGGAATTAGGTCATAATCTAAAAATCTACTAAATTCGTCTAGCCGTATCAGCGCAAAGAAGGAAAAACACACATACAAACTTTCGCATTTATTATGTCATATTATCACTGATGTCAGTAAATTGAAATAATCAATAGTACAATAAATATTTATTTTAATTTTTATTATTTAAATATTTTTTTATAGTGTATATAATTAAAATATTTCAGATGGACTGCTTCGATTACCCAGCAGATGTTCCATTTAGATTCTATGAACCAGGTAAGCAAGAAGTATTTATTATATTATTTTGAGCGAAAATGATTATAATATAATACTATTAAAAAAAATAATTTACGTATTATCTTTAATGTTTACTAATTTTATTTAGGCTGGGGCCTACCGAGAAAAGTCTCTAAATTTCACATGACACCACCAAAATATCTACCTAGTCCGACACCGTTCATAAACGTAGCATCACGAAGATTTGATATTTTTCTCTCCAACCGTGAAGACATAGTAAAGGAACATGCGAAATTAGTGCAAGATATCAATGGCCTTAAGCAAGTGATGTTTGTTCCGCCTATACCGGATGAGTCGAGGGACTACGATGACTCTATATTTCATGAAATCATAGAGACGTCTACGACGACTACTCGACCACCCTCTACGAAACCTACTAAACCATCAAAAGGGATTCCAATTCTGCTTGTAGGCGGAGCCAGCCGCAAGCACAGTGTTAAGAGTCAACCTTTCAAGGGTTCAAATTCAAAACACACGATAAGTTTAGTTGGGACATCTGTGACCCCTTTGGTTAGATATATGCATCCGTATGTGGTGACGACGTCAAATCGTCATCCAGTCAGAATTTGCTTACCCTTATCGTACCCATCCACTACGCCTACTCCGAGCCTTTGGGAGCGACTTCTCAAATCTATAATTCCTAGATAGATTTTATTTTCTAACGTTTCGCAATCTAGTGATAATTCTACGTAATACTTATTGAATTATATTGTTAAATTTTCTCATTGTTTTTTTGTTGAACGGAAAGCGAGAGTAATTTTGTTCGTGTTGCGATTATAAGGACTCGTTCACATGAGTCACGAGTCGTAAAGAAAATAAGAAAAGATTTTTGTATTAGTAGTAGTATTAGTATATAATTCATACCAGTATATGAAAAAAAAAATTATTCTATGAATATAGTAGAAAATGTTCGTACGAATTAAGTTATTAATATGTTAAAAATTAGGGAGTTTAAAAAGAGTGTTAAACGAAGATATATATGTACATAAAATAGTTAAGTAAATAATATAATATTATGTATTTGTTTATATTTAAGGCATAAATAATTTAATGGTGTGATTGATTCTTAAGGAATATGTTTTGTGATTTAACCAAAGACTGCGTGTTGGGAATGCGCCGACGGCCGCTTAATCGCATGTTCAACACATCATAATTGCAGATAGTCTTTGTATTCTTTATAATTTGCCATTTCTTTCATTTATTTACCCAGCATAGAAATTACTTAAGTTAAATTTTATAATCTCGATTTTACTTATAACTAATAATTTATTTTGACTACTTAAGTGTGATAATACCGAGTAGATTAAGGGATGATGCTTTTTAGAATTTAGTTTCTGTGATCTGAATGCGAGTTGCTCAAAATCTTTTCAAATTATATCTATAATGAAAAAATGTCTAAGTATATTTCTTTAAAAAATAATAAAAATTTAGATATACTAATATATATTATAATATACGATCAGTAATTTATTTTGAATTAGATCTTATCTTGTAATATTTCTGTATTTTTCCTGATTAATATTTTCTTTAACCAAGTCAACGTACGTTATGTATTACTGATCGGTAATTATACTTAATTAACATGTGTGCAAACGTTGTTTATGACAGCTGCACGAACATTAGTGAGTAAAATGTAAGTATGATTTATTACTGTTAAGCAGATTAAACAACTGAAGCTACATTTTTGGTTTAATTTCCTTTTACATGAAATGATAGCAAGCGTTTATTTATAAATAATATGATATTTACAGTTTGAACTCGGAGTTTAATAAGCAAGGTTTTCCAAACACTTAAGTTCTAATCAGTGAAAACTTGATTTGATATCTATGTTTAGATAGTGGTCACTCAAGGTTTTTAATCCATATTAATATTTATATAATAATCTTATTGATTGTTAACAATGGAAATTCAACGGAAGAATTCATAAATTCAAGGCTACAAGGAATTCGAAAACCTCAGACCTGATAGAACTAAAAGAATAATTTTCTTTTGAAATCTTTTTAAATATCGTACTAATATTATAAATGTGAAAGCTTGTGATGGATGTCTGGATGTATAGGTATATGGATGTGTATTTTTCTCTTTCACGCAAAAACTACTGAATGGATTTTAATGAAACTTTACAGTAATATAGCTCGTACATCAGAATAATACATGGGCTACTTGTTATCCCGGCAATATGTACGGTTCCGATGGAGTAATTTTATTTTGTTTTCCTAGAGGCGAACCCGAGCGAGGCGAGTGTGAGCCGCTAGTATAAAATAATACTATAGCTTGCTTTGAAATATTCTGAATCTAATCATACGATTCTCAAGGTGCTCTATTTTATAAAATTATTTTATTGTTATGCCTTAAACATACAAAAGTTCTTTAATGCCTGGAGGTCGTTTTCTTTTAGGTTTTTATAGGTATATGATACCTAACCAAGCTCTTCAGTTCAAATTAAATTAGGAATGAAAAAAAATATAAGCGCGGTAAAGCTAAACATCAAGAAAACTTTTTATGTTTTAATTGGATGTATTAAATGTATTGAAAGGTTAAAGAAAAGCGTTTGAATGGTGAGAATTTCACGCTTAATCATAACAACAATTATTTTGAGACTCAATGTGCTTATGTCGACTGTGTTGAGATATAAAAGTTTCCCTTAGAATTAGTTGATTTTTAGTTATAGTTCTAGTGTACAACTTTGACGTGATTTCGTATCGAATTTTATTTGAGCTTTATCTTGTTACATTATATAATTAATGTAGTAAAATATAATGAAAAAAGAACTTTACTATACAATTTTACTACTTTAGTATGATAACATGATTAAAGAATATATGGCTACCAATAAGAAAATACATTTGACGTGGGAATAGCGCTTCTCTTATATGTATATAATGCTTCAAAGGTATCCTATAATATACCTACCTTTTTCCAGTATTCCTAGTACGGCTCTTGATCTTATTTTAATGAGAGGTTTCAGAAAGCTGCTTCAAATATCCTTTAGGAATCGTGATTCCCAAGCGATTCAGTAGTCTGAGAACATTTTCTTCATACTTATAAAAAATAAGCGAATTTATTATGTAAAGAATTTTATCATGTTGCTCTTCGTTGATTCATATTGCATTTTTAAATTCGACGAAATAAAAAAAGTCGGTGCTTGTAGGTAATATTTACGCACGGCTGAAGTTAGACTTAATAATTAAATAAGGCATATTAGGCGTATTACAATTATATTATATTTATAGAATACTAGCAGAACCCGCGGCTTCGCTCGCGCGAAACTACAAAAAAACTCTATAAAGTTCGGTTTCATACAAACTATTTCTCCTATTTTATCCCCTTATATCCATAAAAAAATCGTTGTTAATAAATTTGACTCTCACTTTCGCGACACACTTCCGCTACACTCATTTTTCCCATGTATAGACGTACCCCTCAGTCACGCCTAAAAAACTTTGACTTCAAAAACAGCATGAATCCAAAAATTAAAGATTTAAAGTAATTTTAATATTAAATTATTTGACATAAACGTAGAAATATAGTATATTCTTTAAAAAAATATTTTATAATAGAGTCCAATACGACAGGCTTATTGGAATAATTTCAGATTTAGGTTAGATACGCACTTGTAGTTTCTTTAAAACCTCCAGGTAAATTTCTAAGAACTTAATTAAATTTCTAAGAAATCTATTGTTAACTGTAACGCCGGCGTGTCCGCGGTCGTGGAAGGATTAATGTAATTAATTTCAACTGCCTCGGTGGTGTAGCGGCTAGCATGTACGGCTGCACACCTGGAGGTCCTGGGTTCGAGTCCCGGGTCGGGCCAAGTTTAGTTATTGAGTCTTTCTGTATAGAAAAACTCAGTAATAGCCCGGAGTTAGGAAGTTGGCGGTGTTTCACTCCCGTGCCTCGGAGAGCACGTAAAGCTGTCGGTTCTGCGCCTTATCTCTCACCGGTCGTGTCGAGTAGTCGTCCCATCGGAGTATGAGAGTGATAGGAATAGAGAGTGCACTTGTGCCTGCGCGTACACTTGAGCACTATAATATCTCCTGCGCAGTTGGCTAGTCTCAATGAGATTGGCCGCCGTGGCCGGAATCGGTCAGGAGAACATCATCATCAATGTAATTTCATTGTTAGAAAGCCGTAATTGATCTAATACAGCTTTCTTTCGTTAATCACGTTAATTTGTTGTGTGCATGAAAAAAAATTATGTTCATATATTATAAACTTGTGTAATACTATCAAAATACAAAAGAATATTATGAATATAATGAAAAATAAGTTTATTTCCCGAAAAAGTTATTTATTTACATATTGTTTATATATTTGGGACACTCACTTTAATATGATATACAAACAACGCAACATAATTTTTGATTCGACTAGTTTAAATCCTGTAGTAAAGTAGGATTCAAACCTGCGATCGATCGATCGATTATGTATGTGGACATATTGGTAAGTTTACAACAAACAAAATGTTTAATTCTATCAGACTGGCCATTAACAGAAATCCAACGTACACCAAAGCGCATATAGTTCCAACTTTCCAGTCTAGTTGAAATTTGTTCAGAGCTAATGCGCCGTACAATGCTAATAATGTTGATAGAAGGGATATTGCACTATACGATAGTCCACTTGAGTTGATTTTCACCTGCAATAAAAATAACTTATGGCATAAAAAAGTCTGTTTTATTGTACAATAGAAAAATGGAAAAAAAAACAAAACTTATATAATTTGGTTATAGATTGTCTGTATGAATATGATAGAATTTATTCATATAGATAGATTTTATTCATGGGCTATTTGGCGCTATTATGGAATGTGTATGTATAGTAATAAATGTATAGCTGGAATTACGGAGATAGTTATTTCAAATAAACTGCTTTATAGTTATACTAGCGACTCACCCTCGCTCCCCTCGGGATTGTTCTTAGTTACGTGTTAACGTTTAGTATTGATTTCTCAGAGATGGGATATTTTCCCGAAGAAAAAAGTATATGTTCTACATGCTGACCCGGTTAACCAGCTATCATAATACTAAATTTCATCAAAATCTGTCCAATGGTTTTCTTGTGATGCGTCCCCAGAAAGACAGACAAACAAAAATTCTAAAAACTAGTTTCGGCCTCTGTATCGATAATAAAGGCTATTTCAATAAAATTTTCCAAAAAAAAATTTATGTACAGATTCGACTCAGAATTTTATTATATGTAGTATAGATAAATAAATTGCATAAAAATAACAGAAATGTTGAGTAAGTACTTCATACATGAATTTTATAAGTATATAAGTTACTAAGTATATGTTTTTTAATCGGTAGAATGAATAAAAAAACACATGTTTATAGTGGGCAAAAATGTTAGCAGTAGCTTATACTATGTAGATTAATAAATAACGTAAGATTAACTAATAAAAAAGAACCATGAAAGCGGCATTGCTTAAAATTATTTATGTTTTTCCAGATGATATGAGACCCAAAATTATATTGTTTGATTAAAAATAGTGATAGAATTAAAAAGTGCCGTATTGTACCTATATTACGTATAGGAAACAGAAAAACGATTTCTCTTCTAATATAACACCTCAAAAATCTAATTAATAAGCTATTTACATATGTATACGTTAGTTGTAAACTCACCCAGTGGTTGTTGGGAAATGACGGGTAGAATAAAGCCTTGATAAGCCACGGCAATCCCAGGCAAAGCAAAATGTCAAATGTGTTAGATCCTATTGAGTTACTGATGCCCATTGTACCATGACCTAAAAGTAGATCATAGGTAAGTATAAAGTCCACCGAGTTTCGTCATTGGGCCTATTTACATAATATGTATGTATATAGTTGTTGTCTTGACCGATTCATTATTGGTCTGGATCTAGCGGGTTAAAATTTTGATAGCGCATTCCCTAGATGCCATGCCTACGAAGAAAGAACTTGAAATTCAAAATTAATCATTTCTTCGAATCGATTTTGACCTTTAAAGTAATAGATAATATTCAAAATATGGCGTCATTGTAATATATGTCATTTATTTCCTTGAAGTAAGATTTTGTGATATGGATGTTAGATGTTTGATACTTTGGTTTATAAATCTTTCTATAAATACCTTGATTTGTAACTAGGACGCTGGAGACCGCTTCCGGCAAACTTGTACCGGCTGCTAATATAGTCAAGCCAGTTATACTATCGGGAACATTAAGTGTATCACCTTAAATATATTCAAAATGAATTTTAAACATATTAATTACAATGATGATATTGCGTGAGTTATGTTGTTATACAAAATATAAAAAACGGTTATATTCGTTTATGGCTCTAGGGCATAATCATAAAAATATGCGTAATAGTGTATTCTCTATAAGAATATTAGAAATTAAAATAATATTGCTTTAATTCATTATTATGATTTACTGTCTTTATATTGAAAACGGAAGTCCGATTAAGGGTTAAGTATTTTTGTTTCACCAAAATTTAAATATAGTAGATTCTTTACTTAAAAGTTGTATTAAAAGGTGTAATACATTTAAAGAGATCATTATTATTTAAACGTAGATAATAAAAATATCTTAAAAAGTGTATTTTTATTTTAAAAATAAAAGTCATTACCGACAATAGTGATGATCCAAGCAACTAAATAAGAGACTCCCCCTATCCATGTAACGCACATTATGAAGGTAAGCGGATAGAGACGTTGGTGCTTGCGGCAGTCGGGTATTGTTACCCAAAGCAACAAGCCCATGGGCCACGTTACTATCCAAAATAACTTTTGCATTCCAGAAGTTTTCTCATCAGGCCAAGACCACAACGAACTTGTACTGGATTCTGTAATGCAGGTTAAATAAAAACTTGTTGTCAGTAGTTCAAAAAAGTAGTCGTAGTTGAAGAAATGCAACGAGATTGTATAGGTTTTATTATACCGTATTTAGTAAGGCTTTCTATATTATTACTTTTGTTAAATATTTTACTATTATCTAATATGTAATATTGAGTTTTTACTACTAATAGATTTTTTATTACTAGTAAAAAAATTACCAAACATTATGCTTACCAGAATCAGTAGAGGCATGTCTCTTAGTTATAACTACTCCTTGTTCTAAAATATTAATATTGTGATTGGAGTGAGCCAATTGATGGGAAACCTCTAAAGCACTCCTTTTTTCTGAAAAATATGCACATGTTACATTTCAAATCCTACTTCCATTGAATATGTATTTGAAATATATAGATATATGTGGAATTTACCAACCTTTAGAAAGCAAAGGAGTTATTTCAGTATAAGTCTTCTTTTTTTTAATGTAACAACATCCACTTTTGGCAAAATCCCCAATGCGTCCATTATACACCATTGCTAAAAAATATGACATTTATAACAAACATATTGGTACTACGGTAAAAGTGTTAAAAGAAACTAATAGAATGTATTACATAGAGTTATAGATCAATAAAACTTACCTAAAATATAAAAAGTATACATTAGCACCAGGAGTAAAGCTTCGTACCAATATATTTTATCATCCAAGAGGCTCAAGATAAGGGCAACCACAGCCACAGCATACATCATACAGTCTCTAGATACCGACCACCAGTCCAGTTCTATCACCTAAATCATGTAAAGATTATAAAAATACAACGAACATTATAATATATGTATATAGAGAACTAGAAGAACCCGTGGCATGGCTTGCGATAAAACTACAAAAAATCTCTAAAAAGGTAGTTTCATACAAACTTTCATCCCCTATTTTACCCTCTTATAGGATATATAATATACAAAAAACACGCCAATCCGTCACTCCGTTTCAACGTGAAAGACAGACAAACAAATAAACAGACTTTCACATTTATAATATTAAAAAGTATGGATAGCATAAAATATAGGGGAGAGCTGTTTTTTTGATAGTATGTAGAAAGATTCTTATCTTCAAAGTTCTCACTGATGGTAATCGAATACAATAAAAATTTAGTAACTTATCTTATATGTGTAATATTAGCTTATTATTGTTATAAATATATTGAAAAGAAAAGGATTAAGAAGTTTTTCATCCACATTATATGAAAACAACCACCGCACTGTTAATCTAAGAATTTATAGCATTATATTTTCACCCTAAGAGTAGTTCATGTGTTATTCGGGGTCATAGTCCATCTGTGTACCTACTAAATTTCATCTAAATCCAACGAGCTGTTACACAATACACACACATACATATACATGCGCATTTATTTACCCTTCCGGCAACCAGGGCACAGCAAGCTGGCACTGCGAGGACGTTGAACACCGCCGACCCAACGATAGCCCCGACACCTAAATCACCTTCAGTCACAAAAGTGCCGATACAGTTGATAAACAGCTCAGGACTCGAACTCGCTGCAGCCATAAATGTAGCTCCAGCTATATCCGCCTCCATATTCAAACCTATAACATGTTGCAAAATATATTATTTATTTTTAATTTAATGAGTGTTTTAATTACCTAGCAGTAGCGTATGTGTTAATCCAGATCATAGTCTATATGTTTACTAAATATACGATTAAATAAACAACTGAATGGATTTGGATGAAATTTAGTAGCGTGAAGAGATAACAAACACTCACATATTATACATACACTGATACAAACTTTTACATATATTTTATTAGTGCATCTAACGATTAGATTTACGTACTTGCTTCTTAAGAAATTCTAGCTAATATACTGTAATGTATGTTCGTATACACTATATATTAGACATCTGTAGTGTATACGAGCTTACAAAAATGTAATAAATACTAGTGTATATAATAATAATAATGATAAAAGTCATTTTTAATATGTATAGTCAAACTTGTCTTTGTAGTATTAGATAGAATTTTAGAATAAATTATTTTAACTAACTACATAATTATAATTAGAAAATGTTTTAAAAATAGCTTTAAAAATTATAAACTCAATATTCTCTGTCTAAGTAATAGGTAAGCCTATAAACTACTACATAGCACTATTATAAATCTGAAAATGATACAAGTAATTGAGTTTGATTGGAAAAGTGGTATCGAGAGGGATTCAAGAGCTGAAGATTCAATGGAGCACGGTCAGTGTCCTGCGGTGCAGTGTGCCTACTTTGTGGACCGTTTGCCGACTCATTCTACTGATAACTTGCCTGATTGGTACTTATTGGAGCTGTTTATTATATGCAGACAGTCATTCAGACGTTTCTTTGTGGTTCTTTCATCGTTTTCTATGACGTAGATTATCGTCGTTTAACTTTTCTGTGTATTACTTGTGCTTTGTTGAAAATTATAAAAGGAAAGTATTTGGATAAATTTTTTATTTTATTAAAATTAATAATTTATTAATCTATGCATATAATAAAATTCTGAGTCGATATTCTACATTATTCTTAGTTCTAAATTGACTTCAATAGGTATCGCTTTCATATAGCTTTTTTGACGTCAAAATATTGATAAATTCCATTTATATATGTATGTAGATCCGAAAAAATTATAAAGCGATATCGCTGGCAAAAAGACGACAGTCCTTTTAATATATTTTTTTATTATATTAACTATTATAAAAGATAGCCCAGTGATAACGCGCTCGCTTGAGTAAAGCGGTTTCAAATTCCGAGTCTCGTATCTGTAATATTTTCATATTCGAATCATTTTCCAAGATGATGACAACTTGTGTTACGGTGAACCAAAACACCGTGAGGAAACCTGCATGCCAAACCAACCCGCATTTGGTCAACGTGGTGGACTATGAGCTGATCCTCTAGTATTGAAGGGAGGCCCGTGCCCAGCAGTGGAACGTTTAAAAGGGCTGAATATATTTAATAAATTCTAAGCTTTTTATATACACAATTCTTAGGCATTGTAAGTTAGTGATTATAAACTATTACGATTACGTTTAGTATAGATTTCTCAGAGATGAGACATTTTCCTGCAGTAAAAAGTATTCTATATGTTGAACCGGATAACCAGCTATCATCATACCAACTTTCATCAAAATTTGGCTAGTTGTTTCGTGGTGCGGTTACAGACAGACAGACGGATGGACAGACAAGAATTACAAAAACTATATATTCGGCCTCTGTATCGATAATTATGACTATTTCAATAAGTTTTCCAAAAAAATATTAGATGTACAGATTCGACTCAGTTAAAATTTTATTATATGTACAGATAAACAGTACATAGGTACCTTTATCTCTTCTGTCAAGCGATTTATTTAGTAGCCATTGACTAGCTTTAATCAATATTTTGGAAACAGTTTATATAGATAGGTAATTTTTTTTCGTATATGCTTTCCTCAATTTAATAATGATTACGGTCAAATTTCAACCATTAAGCTAATATCGTTTAGTATATTTCTATAAAGAACTGAGGTGATGTATAGGAGAAGATAAATAGAAAGCCACAAAAAAAGACTCACGTAGTGGCTAGTCTATACATATAATAAAATTCTAACTAAGTCGAATCTGTACATTCAATATTTTTTGGAAAATCTTATTGAAATAGATATTATTATCGATACAGAGGCCGAATCTATAGTTTTTAGAATTTTTGTCTGTCTGTCTGTCTGTCTGTTACCGCATCACAGAAAAACCACTAGAGGGATTTGGATGAAATTTGGTATGGTGATAGCTGGTTATCCGGGACAACATATAGGATACTTTTTACCGCGGGATAATGTCTCATTTCTGATTAAAAATACAAAAACTGCATTGTAAGAGTATACTAATATGTAAAACCTAAGAATTTGGTTTTTGGTCATCTGAACGCGTGCGGAGCCGCGGGCAATGCTAGTAATAGTATAAGAAAGTAAATGATACAATGACACTCACGCTCACATATTATCTCTATGGCTGGCACGAAGTAATGTTCACAGACGGTGCCCAACAGGAGGAAGCAATACACGGCCAGTATGCAATGAATTAGAATAAAGCCCTAAAAAATATGTAAATTATAAAATGTAACTATATTCAAATAATAACAAGTAGGTATTTTAAATGCAAAATTAATGTATTTATAGTATTTAGTTTTACTAATTTTACTAACAATGGGTTAATTTACTGAAAACCTTTTGGAAATGTACTATTTACATCATAATAACAACATCTGTAACAAAAAAATAATATTTCTAAAATTTTTATTTTCATACAAAAATAAAAATGTTTTTATTGCACCTGCTAAACGGTAAAGTTCTACGTAGCATCTGGCCAAGTTAAACGAGTAAGCACCGCCTTCTACACCCTTCCACCCCTCCCACTCCACCGGCCAAGTGTTTTCTTTTGCTAATGCAATGGTGCAATAAAAATATTTTTATTTTTGTAAAATTTAAGAAATATTATTTGTTTTTTCTGACAGATGTTGTTGTTATGATGTAATTATTATATTCATAAAAGGTTTTCAGTAAATTAAAAATGACCCTGTATATATTTAAATATACTTACATGTTTTCTCTGTAACCTGGTGAGCCCATCAGAAGGAAACTCCAAAATAGCAGCCGGTGTACAGTTGTTAACCTGATTTTCTATTATACCGAGCAAATGTCGAGGGCTGAACGCTATATCATCATCTGATTACATAAAATAAAAAGTCATTGTTTTTTTAATACATAAAACATATGTCATGTTTATTTGTTTTCATGTATCGTTTGAAAATTACCTATATAAAAATCATCAAGAACTTTGTCTTCTTCAACATGGTTGTTAGATGCAAGATAAAGTATCGGTATACCGAAAAAGAATAGCACTCTGATAAAAATAGCTAATCTATATTTACACGCACGATTAGTCCTTATCAACATATTAACCATTAAAAAAAAATTTAAAACAATACAACAGTGACTAGAGAAGAAACTTAAATATAAAATACTTAAACTTCAAAAATATATCCGACGTCAAATAAAGAATTCGTATATTTCTCCGTACGCACAACTCAATTTCATTGGCAAATGTATGGTAGATGAGTGGTGAAAAATATAGATAGACAAGTAAATGAATCGACAGTAGGAATACTACTAATTTCTTACAGCACGATTATCAATAAGTATTATAGATTAGGTTTTTATCGCGTTATCAGTGTAAGAGTAAACAAAACAAAATCTCAGGTGGAAGATATCCAATTGGTATATTCCGTTGGCGGCTCACAGCTAAAAGCTTTTGGAGTGTTTTCCTCACACACCACGTTTTTACCTCATAGTTTCTGTATTTACGGTAGTTTAAACATGTATATTAAATTAATCACTTTTCTTTATATCACATTTATACTAATTTTAGCACAAATTTGATGAATTACTAACGTAACGTGGAAATTATATTACATAACTACAGTTGTTATTTACTGCCCGAAAGCCAGAAGAAAATAAATATGAAAATTTTGAATCAATTATACCGTAGGTTGTTGTAAAAGGTTGTCATTTTTAAGTTTTACTTAATTTATTGATAAATGATCAGATTTTTTTTAAAGTAGGCAGTGGTAGCCCAGAGTTAACACGCTCGCTTAGGAAACCGAGTGAAGCGGGTTCCAATCCCGGGTCTCGCACCTCTGATATTTTCATGTGTGAATCATTTCCAACTAAATTAACACTTGTTTTTTGGTGAAGGAAAACATCGTGAGGAAACTTGCATGTCTGAAACAACCTAACAAGTTTTTGAAAGTTTTTTGAAGTGCGCCAACCCACTAGCCAGCGTAGTGGACTATGGCCTGATTATGATTTGACCCCTTGTATTCAAGGGAGGTCCGTGCCCAGCAGTGTAACGTTAATAATTCATACATACACATTACGCAATTAAAAAAAACTCACTATTCTGTAACTCTAATGTAATAATATAATTATAAATAAAAAATTTTAAATAAAAAAATAATTTTACCTAATTCCTAAATTATATTTTTTATTACAATTCTTTGACTGATTTAATGACGACAGAGTCAAAAGTTGGTTATTATGCTAGAAAAAAATTACACGACTGAAGCTCTTCCGCATTGACGTTTTATTTTTATCTATTTACATATTTAACTTACGAATTTATATTAAAAGAAGCTATTATTGAGGAGGCTACCTCGAAAAATATTCCATTAAAAACATTTTAACAAACAGTTAATCGAGAGATTAGGAGAATATTGAGTGGGTAACATTCCGCCACTTGAGTGCGTATCTGTTAAACTATGTACACATGTTAATACTAGTAATGCGCTACAGCTTTGTTAACAAAAATTCACTTTCAAAGAATTACAATTTCGTTGCGAAATAATTTAATATATTACTTTTATGTTTTGATTACAAATTAATAACAAGATACGAATATATATTCAAAGAAAGAATAAAGAAATAAATGAATTTTTCCAAGTGCATTATTGACATTAAAAAAGAAATAGCTCATTATAAGTAAATTATAACATAACAAGTTTCACTTACAGTTTACATGAAAAATATAAACACACTCAAATTCCAATATTACGCCGAAGCTTCCAGAGAATTTTATTGTAAATTAGCATAGCCCGCAGCTTCGCCAGCTAGTTGGTCTATGTAATGAGCAATGCATGAGCAATGCATGTAATCAGAAAATCACCTTTAGGTTCCTTTCTCATGTCAGCAAAAACATAGGACTTTCATAAATTTCTTCTACTTAGCTGGCGTTTTCTATATAAAAACTACCTAATTTCATCTCCATGGATGAAGTAAATTTCCAGATTTCGTAATTAACCAGTTAACAAGTCATTTATATTTATCTTTTATATATATGTATAGGCTACCTTTGCCCGAGGCTCTGCCTGCGTAGCTTATTAATTTTATGTATCGTTATAGCGAGATTTGAGACGTTCGTTCGACCTAGGGTGTTACAGGCGTCCATAGGCTACGGTAACCGCTTACCATCAGGCGAGCCGTATGCTTGATTGCCACCGTCGTAGTATAAAAAAAACCTTCACTATGGACGCTTAATGGAAAAATTGTCTCCTATTTTAAACGATATACGTAATATTTACTAGTATATACTATAACATTAATTAAAAAAATATTTAGAAACATCTTGTTTATTTTTAAATAGAAAAATGGGTGGTTATATTAACAATTATTTATAATTATACTAAATATTTGTCATATCAAAATGGCATGTAGTTGAGTCTATGTGAATGCTGTTTTTAGGATAGTATTGCATCTTCTACCGCATCTATCACGGGGAGTGTTCCGAGGAATTGTTCGGACTGATCCCGGCTGCTGAATTTCACCATCGGACATCGTGCCAAAATAGTAAATTCCATCCACACCACCTCGATGCTGGACATCGTTTCACAACAGTGCGATTTTTAAGGCATTTTCTGCCCCGCACAACTACTCTGTGGAACCAGCTATCGCCGGCGGTCTTTGGCGGAACCGTTACGACCTGGCCACCTTCAAGAAGAGAGCGTATTCCTTTCTTAAAGGCCGGCAACGCATCTGCAAGCCCTGCAGTGTTGCAGATGTCCATGGGCGGCGGTGATCACTTTCCATCAGGTGAGCCTCCTGCCCGTTTGCCCCCTTAGTCCCATTTAAAAAACAACGTCTTTGCTGTGGGAATAAGGTAATTTACAGCGGTAAAACGTAGCCTATGTCACTCTCCAGCCCTCCAACTATCTCCTCACAAAAAATCACACCAATCCGTCACTCTTTTTCGACGAAAAAGAAGGACAAACAAATGAACAAACACACTTACACATTTATAACATTAGTATGGATTATATTAGAATTGATACTCGTCAATGAGCTTTAAGTCAATATAGATACTACTGTGTTAATGTGTGCCGTTAGATGTCTACGTTTTTGCAGTGAAAGAAAAATAAGGTAAGTCTGTGTGTTGGTTGTTATCTTAAGGCCATACTACAATGTAACGAATGAAGTGGCTAAGTTAAATATTTTAATTATGATAAAAATGGAGAGGTGGTCCAATTTCAGTATCTTTAATGGGTGCACATATTTTTTTCATAAATATATTTTGTATGTGCTTTCATTGAGAACGGAGATTACGCTGTCATTGTTTTTACGATGCTTTACACAAAGGACCTACCTACAAGTTCGAACTCTATTACTAAGTCTACTACAGTAGCCGGCGTATAAGTTATTGACAATAAAAAAAATTAAAAATAAAATAAAAGGATATAAGAGATGAGATTTCTCGTAAAAACGTCTATAAATACATGATAGAACAAATAATAAAATATGGCTAAGTTTTCGCCTTCGTGTTTATTTATTTAAACCACCAATACTTGTACTTACAGTAGAGAGATATTTTCCTCTATTTTAAAAATAAAACTTTATTTCTAAAAAGATTTACATATATACATACGAGTATATAGATAAACTAAATGTTTTAGGTATTTTAAATAAAATGCGTGTTATTTACATTGATATGCAATAATATCAATGATTTTATACCATTGAATAATAGAATTGACATTTAAAAGTCTATAATTCTGTATTAACAACTCTTACAACAACTTGGTCGTTTGGATAAATAAATACTGAAACGACGAAGTGTAAGTTGGAACTCCCAGTTCCAATCGCTGCCCAATATAGGTATATGCTCTACATTGTGTGGCGACACCGAAATCATGCTACAAGAGTCCGACTACCAATTTACTAATATCACAATAGTTTTTAATAAAAGCATCGTTTTAATGATGATAAAGTATACTTTATTATAATCTATACATATAATAAAATTGTAACTAAGCCGAATCTGTACATTAAATATTTTTTGGAAAATCTTATTGAAATAGACATTATTATCGATACAGAGGCCGAATCTATAGTTTTTAGAATTTTTGTCTGTCTGTCTGTCTGTTACCGCATCACAGAAAAATCACTGGAGGGATTTTGATGAAATTTGGTATGGTGATATCTGGTTATTCGGGTTAACATATAGGATACTTTTTACCGCGGGAAAATATCTCATTTTTAAATAAAAATACAAAAATTGCAATGTAAGAGTATACTAAAATGTAAAACCTAACAATTTGGCTTTTGGTCATCTAAACGCGGGCGGAGCCGCTGGCAATGCTAGTATATTATAAAGTCATAGTTTTGTACAATGAAGTTTCTAAGGAAATTACTAAATAATTTGTAAAAATAAATCAAATAGTTTATTAAAGAAGCCTTAATTTCTGATTACGAATATGTTTTATGCTATATAATAAAGGTTCGTTTATTTTATTACGTTGATATGTTACAAAAATATGTTAACTTAAAGTACACAATCGGTTTAACAGAACTTCATCGTGTTATTGTCGAGCCGATTGTGTTGTAAGCTGTAACTGGGTCACACAAATAACGTTATATACAACACGTGCATGTACTCGTAGCTCCTTATTTTTACTCTCCACATCCTACTTAGACCTGTGTTAGTCCAATATATGTATTATAAAGTATTTTATTATAATTTAACAGTTGATCGGCACTGCTCGGCCCGCACTATTTGAGCTATAAATGACAAATGATTAAAAAAATAAGAAAATGAAATGAGTTTCAAAGAAATGAGACTTTTGTATCTTATTAATTGTTTTTTTTTATATAATTAATATATTTGTAATATAATATAATTATAATTATAATAATTATAATTCATTTCAATACATTGAGATAAAAGTTAAAAACAAATTTTAAAAAAAGTGTTAATTTTTGTGGATAAGGTCCTAAAAATTGGCAATTGAGATCGGATTTATAATTAATACTTACACCAGTATTGTTTAATTGCTTTTATGATAATGGCACAAAAATGTGGTATAACTATATTTTTTTAATTTACCTTGTCTCTCGAAGTAAAATTTAGTTTTACCGATTTAATAATTTTATCATAGATGTCTCGTAGCTCCTTGGTTTATTAAATTATCTTTATTGGTTGTACCATTACATATTTATTTAAGGAGAAATGGGGTAGGTCCCGTTCGGATTTGTATAGTAGGGCTATAACAGGTCATTGTTTGTAGATACATGAAGGAAGAAATGGTTTACACAAATATTTAGAATTTAAATATTAGGAGTTAAAACATAACAAAAACAGTAACAAACAGTAACAAACATAAAGTTAAAACAAAGCTAAATCGTAAGGTTGCTGCTTGCTTCAGCTCGTCTGCTATTTTCTCTGGTTCTCCGGCTCTCCAAGCCTCTACTACCATTACCTATATGTACAGTAAAAAACTTACAAATTATTTTTTAATTTTTAACCTTAGGTAATTAAATTTAAAAAACGTTTTTTTCTTAGTGCGTGCACGGGCCTCTAGTCGATGCGGGGCCCCTAGGCAGTTGCCTAATCCGCCTTATGGATAATCCGGCCCTGTGAGTACTTAAAATCAATATAGATCTTTTCTGGAGATCTAAAAAGTCGTTCTAATTGTACAAAATCACAATTTACGCACTATTTAAAGAACATTAGGTAATAAAATTTTTACTAATGATAATGTAATTCTGTGAAGTTATATTTCAAGGTCAAAACTGTTGATTGATACATCTTTTTTATTTCCTGCGGTAAGTCTAATTATTATTAGCCTGAGTTAGGTCGGCGGTACGTTACTACTCAATCTGATTTAATTAAGTGTAATTGTTGAGTCGCGTGCCGGGGGAAGGAAAGGCGGGGGAGGCGCACGAACTCTTAACCCGGCAGATTAGTGAAATCACATCACTCTCCGTGTCTATTACAATGATCAAATTACTGAAGCAAATGGCTTGTTCCTATTCTAGAAAACGTACGAACTTATCAAAAATAATGTTTTACTTAACATTCTTAAAGAAAATATATTACATGATAGATGTTGTGATAAACTTGTTATTTTAAAGAGTATAGGTATCTACCAAATATCTAATATATCAGCAGTCTTGGTTTACTTTGGTTATGTCAATGTTATATGGTGTCCGAGATGATAAGACTATTTGGGATTTATCCTCTGTTTGTAAATATGTATATAATATTGATTTTTTCAATAAGAGATAACAAAATTAAATTACTAATATGCAAAAAGTTTCGATAAAAATTTGTTTACTAAATAAATAACTTAAATATTAAGATACATATGTAATTATAATTAAACTTACAATAAGTCTGAAATTAAAAAAAAAACAATTTAAAAAAATTTCCGTTAATCGATTATCACATAAAATCCGCCTCTAGTGCTCTAACTAATATCCCTCGGAGCCTCACCAATTAATTTGTAAATGAAAAAAATCTATGGCAATTCATGTACAATGTGCGCTGAGGCAGGAGCCGCGCTCGGAGTCACTTCATCACTGCGCCCGTGCGCCGCCCGACGTACGTGTATTGTATGTGAATAAATAATTGGCTGCCGTATTCTTCTTTTGACGAGATCTCCGGCTGGTCCATTATGTGTCGCCGAGCGCTGGTCGCGGCATTTGGACGCCACTGACGACGCTCCCGGTCGTCTCCACGATGAATGCCTCCGGACGAGGTACGTTTACATTTTACCGCGGCTCCCCGTGTAGCGGCGGGTAGCCGGCAGCGTGGAGTGCACACCGCGTACCGCAAGGTTATAACATCGAAGCAGGTCGGAAGTGCGTCCAATTCTTTGTGAATGGCTAGGTCACACTATTGCGATGATAATGGGCAGGGGAGAAGATTATATCAGCGGTCCGAGTGCCTGTTGTTCAGTGAACGTAGTGGCTAGTGGCGTCCGCGAGACCAGCTCGTGGCCCGTAAGTATGGAAGATTGAGGACGCGCCATGGCTTACAATGCGACAGGTATGTGCTGTAGCACCTTGACTTTGACCAGAGTTTGAGATGATTTTTTACGTTTTTTTCATTATATTTATGTATGTAGTTGGTTCCCCGAAATTTAAGTGTTTTACAAATAACGGGTGTGGCTACCGGTCTGTGGAATGGCTATTTGTAAGTGAATTAATGCCAATCATGTCGTAACGCTGTAATAAGCATGTTTAGTAGTGCTTTTACAATTGTGTACTTATAGAGACCTAATGTTTTTTGTCTAACCTAGATACATCATACAACTACATACGTTACCCGCTATCCTGCTGGTTTATTCTTTTTTATATATGATCTCTCGATATTCAAGAATATTGTATCTTCAAAATAATATAATAAATAATAATAAAAACAAAAAATATAGAAGATATACGAGTATATCTTCAAAATCAATTCTTGAATTAATATTTTAGTACAAATATTATGATGTATTTTGTCTTAAGAAAAAAAAATCCAATTTGCACATTTCACGTGGTGTACGGTCGCAATAATGCAATATTAATGTGTAAAGTAATTCTTATGTAATTAATTATCATTTAGTCGATAATATCGAAGATACTAATTAGCTTCAATACCTATAATCATTATAACAATATTAGACGTTATAATTGTGTATTGGGGTTCTTTTTTAAAATAACATGTAAAGTTTGTAAATGTTAAATGACTTTGGCTTTATATCCTTAAAATTTAAAAGAAAGTAGGTGTCAAATATATTAAAAATAAATGCTTCATAAAAATTTATTCACACCAAATTGTATATATTATTTGAAAAGTTTTTTAAATAAATCTATGGTTAATTTTAAAAAGTATCTCTTTTCATAAAGTCATTTATAAAAGGAAACTAGAAATATTAACACACAAAAGATGTATGAGCATAGTTTTGGAAAATTTTGGTTGTATATATGTGTTGTTCCTGAAATGAAGCAATTTTGCCGTCCGCGGCTAATTTTTACGGTCGTTTGCGGCGGTGCTCCAAACTTAGAAGAAGGGGAGGCACAGGATCAGCGCCTCATCCGGTTAACAATTGATAGTTTGTTAGGGCTGGCAATCATATACAACTTTATATGTAAATTATAGAAATTTTGGCCACTAAGGATATACAGGAATTAAGTTTAAAGGTAAAAAAAATATGATGAGTGAGGCTGTTTAGATGCTTGATATCACTATATTTTCACGAACACTTGGTATTAGCGGTTAATAAGTAAGTGTAGTGCTATTATATGAATGAACATAAAATACAAATAAAATTTAGGTTTTTTAGTATAATTATGTTGAATTTTATAATTCAACATTTACTTATGTTAATTAGACAAAAATAATACCATGCAAGCAGTAGTAGCCCAGTGGTAACGCGCTCGCTTGAGAAACCGGGTGAAACGAGTTCACATCCCGGGTCTTGCCCTGCACCTCTGATATTTTCATGCGCGAATCATTTCGAACATGATTACCGCTTGCCTTACGGTGAAAGAAAACATCGTGAGGAATCCTGTATGTCTGAGAGAACCTAGCAAGTTTTCGAAAGACATGTGACGTCCGCCAACACGCACTTGGCCAGCATGGTGGACTATGGCCTGATCCCTCTCGTATTTAAGAAAGGCCCGTGTCCACGTTAAAACGTTAAAAAGAGCTGAATACATACATACATACAATACCATACAATCTAAAAAAAAATAACTAAATATATCAATAGAACAAGCTGCTATTCATAAAGCTAAAACAACAAGTGTTTTCAAATAAAATACGCCATATCAGCAGTAAAGATGAATTTACTATTCTTAACACCTCCAGGTAAATTTCTAAGAAATTAATTAAATTTCTAAGAAATCTATTGTTAACTGTAACGCCGGCGTGTCCGCGGTCGTGGAGGGATTAAATTATACAGAATGTAGTTATTAAGTATATTTGGATACATTGTAAGTGTTAGTGTGTGTGTTATACAAGCATTTTGTATGTCCTGGTTTGTATTTTTCTTCATATGTAATAATTGCTTATTGACTTGTCTCATCAAACATTCGGATAAACTCTACGTTAGCAAACGCAAATGGTCGCCTAGATCAAAGTGCTGACGTTTAGTACTAGTTTTACATTAATAGGAAATAAGTGGTCAATAGAAAGAAGCTAATATCGAAGCCAGCTTAATGCGGACTTCCTGTCTTCTTTCATCTGTCAATTTCCTTAGTAGTGCACTCCATCATATCTAAACGAGCCGAGACACGCACTATTTGACTCTCAAACATTACTAGATCACGTTAAACCTATTAGGTCTACTTTATGTTGTAGCGAGCTTAACTCATCAAGTGTGTTCAATATTTTTGTTTATTACTCCAGAGAGCTTAAGCATTATGTTATTTTTTTTTTTAGTTTTCCATTTAAAATATCAACTTTATAAAGCCGCTTGTTTATAGGTAGTTTATAGACTGTTTCCTCTTTTGTCTTGTTAATCTATACGAAATAATCATGTATGTAAGTAGCAGTTATAATTAATTAGAAAGCAGTTACAAATAATATATAACCTAAGACTGGACTAACAAAATAACTAATAAACAATTTAAAGTATATAATTTTATTCAAATTTTATAGTTTCCTTGTAACATATTTATTTACAATAGAGGAAATTACTAATATACTTGATTATATATACAAAACAAATGTATACTTATTATTATTGTATAAGTCATGTCCGCGTGGAATGGTAGCAAGAATATTTCTTAGTTAATAAGGAAGTAAATATGTAGGTATTAATATTATCTTGTTAACATACCTGTTCCGAATTTTCTAATTTTTGTATAATTATTTATTTTACGGTCTCAAATTATATAAAAGCTCGTAAGCAGTATATTTTATTCTTAAAAGACCATAAGGAATGTAGTTGCTATGCTGGTTGCATCAAGATGTCAGTACAAAATATGTATATAACATATTATATATTAGCGTTATTTACGAATTAAAGAGTTAAACTTTATTTTCTAAAATCGGCTAATCCGGTTAGGTAAGTTGACGCAGTGGTCATTTGAGACAATTTGCTTGTTGATTTTGCTACTTGTCGGAGCGTTTTTAGAGAGGAAGCCACTTTGTTTGTTTGTCATCAGCGATGCGTTCGTTTATAAGTACTTTATTCATTTCATAGAATTACCTTGAGCTTCATTATGTCAGATACGTAAGCCTAAGAGTTAGAGTATGTACATGTTCATAGATTTCTATGACTGAAAATGGTGTGTTCTACCACCAACTGGCACTAAAGTAGCAGTTAAATTGTTAAAGCGGAATCATTGTTAAGAAATGATGGGATAAAACAATTGGATATAAATTATACTCACTACTAATACCAATAATTTGTAATAAGAGTGTTTGTAATCATGTGTCTACCCCGTTAAGAAATCTAGCAGATTCTATCGTGAAGAATCTTGGACGTTTTCTGGAACACCCCTGCCATCTAATTTTAACCGACTTCCAAAAACGAGGAGGTTCTCAATTCGTCGGAATCTTTTTTTTATGTATGTTCACCGATTACTCAACCTGTTCAAGACGCCTGAACCAATTTGGAAAATTTTTGTTTCGTTTGAAAGGGTGTACTTCCCAGGTGGTCCCATATACATTTTATCGAAATCGGTCGAGCGGTTTTAAAAAAAATCAATCAACAATAAATATTTTTTTAAACAAATTGTTTAATCGAATATGTTATTAAAAACTTTCTTCCTACAAATTAACTGCTTATTACGTCTACACTAAAAATATAAAAATAAAAACTTAAAAAAAACCGACTTCCAGGCACTAAAATGTAAAAATAACTAAACGGGGGTTTTCATTTAGAATAGATACCTAATCAGATATTTTCGAAGTCGGTGCCAGGGGACAATATTTTAAGATATGAATATCTCATAGGTATATATGTATTTTACTTATCAAAATATATTAGATTTCCTACGCGTCGGCTGGCACCGACTTCGAAAATATCTGATTAGGTATAGTTAGGTAAAGCTAGGTAAAGTTATAGTTGTCATTGCTGTAGCCAGCCGAGAAGTTATGCATAATTTTTCTTTGAATTTGAAATAACCTTCGTTCTCTATTTTATATCCTGCACAATAAGAGTGCACTTTCAGAAGAACAACGCAATTTAGACAGACCTATATGACTATTATCATTATGTAAGAGTTAACTCGTCGCATATTTGATTGTCTTCGACGACCTATGTCGGCTTGTCTCGTCCTTGGCATTGTAATAAATTTTTAGAAAACGACACGGATATGTCTTCACAGTCCTCAATTTTGAAACTATTGAAAACTTAAAAATTTAAACGTCAAATTAATTTTAGCACTTATCTGTCCCTTATTCATATGGAGAGTGGCGTCATATTTTTTCCAACTTAAACTTAAATCATTGTTGTAGGTGATAGGCACTAACGCCTTTTATAGAAAGTAATTCGAAGTAGTTGATTGCCATACAAAATAACCAGTTCTGAACTTTTCGATTTTTCTGCGGTTCTTTTGGGTTTCTCTACTTTTGTATATTTCAATCACCCCTGAGACGTCCCCAGCAAATATCCGTTGTAAACATGTAACTACGTATTGTGGCTCAACTACCGACACTAAATATCAATCAATGAAAACAGTGAAATCCGTAATTGCACGTGAATTATTGTTTTTTCCTCCTTCAGTTTCGTTTGAGTGAGCTACTCAATGCGAATGTATA